GTGCAGCCCTACAGTGAGGCACGTAGAGCCTATAGCACGGAGGAAACTTTCACCCTGATTTATATTAATTCACATGGCACATGTAACTTTCACATCTCTGAAGGCATCACTGATTATTGGGAAAAAATTCCATTCACGTCTAACAATCTCACGACTCTACTGTCCTGAGTTTTCCTAAAAACACTTTGAGGGATGAATGTTGGGTTGTTTTTGGAGGTTTTTCTGGCATTTTAAAATTCCATTATCTAGTGTCGGTGTACTAGTTTCAAAGTTGGAACTACTATGAAAGCAACATGAAATTTACAGCCAGAAGCTGTGTGTCACCAGTATGAGTAGCACTGTTCATCACATCCCAAATATCCAACTTGTCAAAAAAAACCTAACGAAAAATAAAATTCTGAATCATTTTTATGCAATAGTGCGTTCTGACTCACTCTGAGGTCCTCGCCCTCATATTTCCTCAAGCAAGCGGTGCAGGTGGCAGTGGCAAACGTGCCGTGGGCCTCCACCAGCATCTCAGGAGGAATCCCGGCTACTAGAAAGAGGCATAAACACAGAAAACAAGCACATCAAGTTCACTGTCACCGTCTCTGTGATGCACGGTTATGTCAAACAACTAAACTTCATACGTCTTTCCAGGCCATCAATGTTCTGTGTGTACATCCGGAGCAGCTGACCCTTCTTGTGAAGCAGATAGACAAAGTAGTGTGTCAGGTTGGGGCGGTAGTTTCCTGGATACAGCTCTTTGGCCAGGGCGAAGAAGGGATTTGGGTTATGGTGGAAAAAGCTAATCTCAAATATGGCCTCGGCGTAAGGCAGGTCATACTGCTGCAGGTTGTCATAGAGACCACTGCCTGGAGACCTGCAAGTGAATCCAAATGAAACTGTTGATCGAGACCAGAATGCACCTTGTCTTTACTGATATGGGTAGACGCCAGGGCAGGAAACCACAGCTAGCCATATTACCTGAAATCTGGGATGCCACTGGGAGTGCTGATCCCCGCTCCAGCCATCACCACGACCCTCTTGAACTGCTGCTCCCGGATGCTCTTTGCGATATCCTCCAGGGTCTGCTGCTTAGCTGACGAACTTCCACCGTGGGAGAAAAACCCTCGGGTCTGAGTCCAGCAGAGAGATCGTGCATGTCTGGGAAAAAGTAAACG